ATACACACCGGCTGCAAAGTGCGTAGAGTACGGACACTCAACATGGACACTGCATTTGGAACATTGTGCGCTGTCGACCACGGACGGCGGTGACGCCATGTTATTACGAAATTCGATGGATCAGTCTGTGGTCCAGAGCTGTAGGCGACTCCAGCGATATCGACGGCACCTAGCGGCTAGAACAGAAAGTTTTGGGCGACAAGTTCGCCCTGCAGCCTTCTCGGGCGAATCACATCTTCGCAGCACCTGGCGGTCAAAAGTCGAAGCCGTGAAAGTCTCAGCTTAGGGGGAAAGAACCCCAAGCTGAGACTGCGGTGGAAGCTGCGTCCTTGTTGGGCAGGTATTAAGGCCGGTTCAAACACTTGCGTTTGAGTGCGTTGCGTCGAGAACCGAAAGTGAGTCACCGGCACATCTGTGCTTCGTATGAAGCGTGGAATCCAATTCAAGGAATCATCTTGGCACGTGACATAGGCAGCAGGGATGTCCTGGTTTCTCGCTGCCGCAACGCAGTCATACGCGACTGTCTGAACCAGTCTACGCCTTTCTTTCGCCACGTGATCATACTCCCGCGCCCACACCCACGCGAAAAGAGACGGGTCAGGAGACGGGAGGGGTGCTGCTGATTGGTCCGGCGGGCACGTAGCTCCATCCGCAGTCTTAGCTTAGGGGTAAACGGAGTAAATAGATTGCGTCCACTTTCGAAAGGGGTCTAATGGAAACACTTTTTGTTGACCCCCGCAAGATAGCTGAACAGTCCACGGTGCGGTGCCTATTTGTCGTAAAGTGTTTTCAACGGCTCGGTCGGGTGACGCGAGTTATGGGCCCCGCTCGCAATAGACCAGTGTTCGAAATCCTAACCCCCAGCGATAAAAAATGGGAAACGATAATCTCAATTGCAGACTTTTGTGAAGAGAAAAGCTGCGCATAAAGCGAAATTTGTTTTTGCTTTTTACGGCACCTGGGTGTTGTTCGTGACACTTGGTGAGTGTGCGTTTCTGACGGTTCTTGCACTACCATATGTGCGAAGGTTTCTAACAAAAGGGAGGTTCTCAAAAAGCGCAGTCCCCCTACACCGTCATGGCGTCAGCAAAAACAATGATGGCGGCGTCCATGGAAAATAGCAGACTCTCGAACGCCTCGATCGTCGGCAACCAATAAATGAAGTGAGAAACTTTCGTCTCGAGCCACCTGGTACGCATATCCGGCGTGGGCGACGAAAACATAATAAAGCATATCAACCCGCGAATTCCTTAGAGGTATATCCAGAAATATATATTGTTAGTTTCACACCAAGTCCGACCACATCAAACACCATATGGTCCGACTCAAGGGCCGTAAAAAGCTCTTCTTCAGGGCGCTCGTCGCTTTTGTGCGTTTGCTATCGCCAAGCCAATCACGAAAAGAAATGAGTCGTGATCCCGCACTTTTTTGCAGCGTCGACTATTTTCGGACTCGGAGGGACACGAAGTATTAACATATCAGATTAGTACAAAAATTTAATTTCCCGCATTCTTTTTTGTAGACCACGTAAGTTGGTACGTAAGTCGGCACGCGTAAAATTTTTTTGATGAATAAACGTAAAAAATATACATAGATAAAGGATTGGGGCATTAAAACGAAAGCGACGGAAAATAGTCTACCGTCGGGAACGGACGACATATATATTGCGCCAAACGCTGCTCCCAGGGCCCGCGGCTGTTTGTCGACCTCGCCCGGTTCTTGTTTGACCCGAACCCGTCTGTGTTTGCGCACTCGTGCTTGTGCCGCCAATGTTCGTCCGCTCAAGTGCCACCTCCGTGGACACGTGGGCTCAATGTATTCTCTCTTTATTGTCGCCGATTTATTTTCTGGGCTTCGTTTTTGAACTAATGTACGTGTCTTGCACGTGTCTAACCACGTAACTGTGTTGTTCGTTTGTTTAGCTAGCATTGGAAGTTGGTCGGCTCCAAGGGGCCACTCGCGTCTCCGTTGTAGATGAGACATTTCGCCGGCCCAGTACCTCCGTTGCAGCGCAGGGTCTTTGACGCGCATCACGCAATAGCTAGGGGTACACGGCGGCACGCAGGTGCGTTTGCTCATCCAGCACGAGAAAGTCGTCAAGGTTTCTGACCGCCGATGAATGGCCAGCGCCAAGAGTGGCGCTCTCCAATCGCGGCGTTCCAAAATCTCGCCGACCAATTCTTGTCAAGAGTTCGGACTACAGCCCCAGATCGAAACGAGCAGGGGTGCGGATTCAACATAACAGGTCATTTCTAGTTGTGTTGTTGCCAAGAAAACAAGTAACAAGTAGAAATGGCCACCAGCACAGATCGATGACTCTTTATCTAATAGCTGCTGCACTAATTGTCCCAGCATGCGGTCACGACCATAGTCCGTAATACACGAACTCACACGAAGTCACCATGCATGCGGGACTTGCATTCCTGCGTTATTTTTGGTCGAAACCAGACAAAAACCTGCCTTCTCGTCAAAACGCCGCGACTGGAGCTGTACCGAAAGAGTCGGGAAAGGTTTGAATGTCCGTTTTCGCGTGTTTCTGCCCGCTCGGTTCGTCCGAGAACGTAGATAAGGGCCGTGACAAAGGAAAACCAGACGCCCTCAGACCATGATTGCTCGTGCGGCAAGCACTTTGGGTTGGATTTACGGATACTTCTGGTTGTCAGATTTATTTGTGTTATTCCGACATGAACGCGGGAAAACCGCCAAGTTGTACGGACCGCCTGCGGAGTGCGTTCAGTGCGTCTTCAAGTTCAAACGGCCGCCTGATCGTTCGAGCTGTCGTCTGCTCTTTCAAACGTTTCCGCTTGTTGTCGTCTGCTGGTTCAAAGTTCAAACGACTGCGGCCCGTAGACGAAACGTTGAACCGGTAATTTCGATAAGAGGTAAGTGCTTGCCTCAACAGACCGTTAAGTTTGAGGGTTGGTTTGGGTAAGGAGGCTCGGGCAAACAGTATACAAGGAGACGTTCATAATTGTTATCAGAAGCCATCACCGACTTGTTGTGCCTGATTCACTTGGTCCGATTCTACTTGAGATTGTCAGTATCAACGTCGTCCATCTCAGCTATGGTTCACGCTTTTGCAGCCCGAGCGACGTCTTGACTAAAAATAGCGAGCAGAGTCATATCATGCGAATTATGCTTTATCGTCCATTCTCAGGCGTCCACGCGGGACGAACCGCCGCATGTCACATTATTCGCGCGAAGCTTTGCGGGTAAGACGTAGAATTAACAATTCGCACGCTACAGAGAGCACGGGGACTCACACCGACGCCGAGAACGTCGCATTTCAATGGTTTGTTTATGGGCGATTGCGATCCTTTTGCCTAGACTCCTTGGCGCATGCGCGGGGCCAGTGGCGTCCGCTAGGGGCGCTCCAGTTTGTTTTCGACAACTCATGCTCTAAACGTCTAAAAAAAGAAAAAAAATCTGTGTGTGTATGTTTATACAGCCTTATGCCTCAACGGGCGACGAGTCTCCCAGCTGTAGATGAGAAATTTAGCCAGTGCAGTACAACCGCTAACCTGGGATCCTTAACATGCATCACGCAGTAGTGGTACGCGACCGCACACCGGTACGATGCTTATCCTGATCGAAACGGGCAGGGGTGGGGATTGAACACAGTATCCCCAGGTTCTGCAGCGCCAGCTTTCGCTCCACGTCCTCCGAACTGGTGTGCGCTAGCACACTCGGCCGCCGATCCCCCCTCCCCTCCCCCTCTCTCTCCCCCTTAGGGCGTGTATTGGACCCGAGGGCTGTGTCAGCGTTTGGCTACAGTTTGGCAAAGTCGAATCCAATCACGCACTTCTGTGCAAGAAATGGCCACTGTCAATGTTGCTTGATGGGATTTTGAAAAGGCTCTATATTCGTTCGTGTTAGCCTTAGCTGGGGTCACCGTACATCATGCAAAGGACAGTCTGGGAAACACAAGTCACCGCAATATCCGTGGTTCGAAAATGCCGCACCCCAAGATTCCTCTTTGAACTCATTATCATGCGGCATTCGAAGCACGGACCTCGAGGTGACTCGCGTTTGAATCTGCATGCAGACTGTCTTTCGTATGATGTATAAAGGGTGTGACCCCGGCTTTAGGGTTCTCCGGAACTAGGGTGACTGGGAGTTTCAGGAATGTGCTGATTGGTTAGTCTATTGAGTTCGGTTTTGGAAAGGTGCCATTTTCCTTCCACCGACCGATATTGGTCTGAAAGTTGCAAGGTCGGGATTGATTTTTTCGAAGTCACCTTTGGCGTAATCGCGGATTTGCTTTACATTAGTCGATGGTTTTGGCGCTGCTGCCTTTATATCGAAATGCACAATGAAAGAATCGCAAAGTTCTAAAATATCTGATATCATTGAAACAAGTTCAGGATGAGTTATCAAGACAAGATCGTACACTTTTGCTGACAAGGAGATATAGGTCACTCTGATGGGTTTAGTAACTAATTGGGTTAAATTAAAGTCGAAACAAAGGTCACCAGAAACACATTGCATTCGTGTAATGATGCAGATGAATTAACAACTACTGCTGCAGACGTCAGCAAGTGCGGCGCGTGGACACATATTTCCATGGCATTCTCCTTTGGGCTCGAGTAATGTAACAATAGGTGTATAAGGGGACGGTAAACGAACCCGACTTACAAGCTGCTCGATCTCCAAAATGCTCCTCTACAAGCGGTGGCATAGCCATGGAAGAGCCTCGGGTTCAGCGTTCAGGGGTGTGCAGCTCGGCAGCGAAAGTGGTGAAAGAGAGGGTCGCGGGGGGCTACCACCTCGGGTGCCGCGAAACCTATAGCGACGAAGCTGCGTACAAGGACTTGTCCTTTCAAGACCGTTCATTTAGGACGATACGTAATGTGTTCTTTTTTTAATGAATGACGCAATATGTTAATTACAATATCTGTTTTACGGGCCTAATATGCACCAGGTGCTCATTGTGCGCGGAATGCGGATTATGCGCAGGTGAAGACTATCTAATAAAAGCATTTTTTTTTTTTTTTCAGCCGATTTTGTCTTCTGCGGAGTCCGAACTACACCCCGGGTGCGGACTACAGCTCGGACAATACGGTAAGTATGCATGACGACGAAAAATATTCTTCGCTGCTTCACTGCCCTTTAGCTGAACGAAATGTTTCCTACAACAATAGTCAAAGGAATGTTCACACCGTAAGCGTAATGAGACAACCTCGACATTTAAGAAAAGAGCAACTGCCTTTTGAAGATGATAACTACACGATTTAATCGTGGTATGTGAAAAGGAGCCCCGAGCTTTTAGGGACGTCAGTGATTGGGGCAAAATTGGCATAGCTTCAACAGTGTCTTGCCGCCGTTAGAGAAACTATGTAGCGCAATAACACTGCTCGTTAAGTTCGGCAAAACGTAACGCGTTCCTGAAACGCGTCACCGTCTTACGAAAGTAACGAAATACCTTTCCAGCTACTTCCTAAATTTAGCTAACGGTACTTTTGCGTAAGTTTTGTGTTAATTTGGATTTCAATACTATTATTATTCTTTGGTAGCGATAGGAAGCGATATCAACTCTGACAAAACTGTTACACAGCGACTTCATAATGTTTTTTTTTTTTATCTTTTGCTTATTAGATTTCTAGAATTCAGCGAAGTCACGATGACGCGTTCGCCCTTTAAAGGTACAGAAAAGTTTACTAATTTGAATCAAACGTATGTAGTGACAAAACGTATTATGACAGACAATAACGTAAAATATTAACCAAATTACTCTACTCGTTGATTCTTTCGAAAGCTAACAAATACGTTAAAACGTTAAAAAACACTTAACGCGTTATTAGTAACGTAATTACTTGTAGTGTATTGCTTCCAACACTGGCGTCAACACATGTGAAGGCCTGCGCTGGAGCTTTGGTAAATATGTGCCGAAGCATAGTTTGCCCTATCACAAATGTCACTCAAATGCGGCGCAGGATGGAGTAGATAGCCTGCTCTTTTTATCAGAAATGCCACGACTAAATCATGTTGTCATCAAATACAAAAAGCAGTCGCTTTTCTTTTTTATTTTTTAATGTCGAGGGCGGCGCATGAGGTAGGAACGTTCTGTTAAGTGTCGCGAGACCTATTTAGATTCTGGACCGCAGGAAACTAGAAAGACTGGTCCGCCTAAACTTCGTGCATTTTTCACTCCGTATAAAAGCTTAAATGAGGAGGTGCGGACTGAGTGTTCGTTGTTTCTAAAAATGGCTTAAAATTTTATAGGTAGAACCTATTTTTTCGGTTGCACAGCTGGGTCGTCAGAAACAGCACAAAGGAGCAAACCGGTTGCGAAGAGGCTGTTTTCTGCTAGATTCTTATGGCATCTGGTTTTACATACGTTGGTCGAGCTAGGGCGTCGTGTAAATGATATCATTCTGGAAGACAAAGGGACGGTGCCGTCATATATGTAGTCGAACTCTGAATATGCACAACCTCCCGATGGATACGATAACTGTTCCCCTGAATATAAATGCGCGGACGAAAATATATTTTGTAAGAAAGGGGTCACCCTTGAGGAAAACAATAAAAGAGACAGTTCGCACAACGAGTGCTGGCAAAAGTATATAGACCAACTCAAGCCCCTGACGTGACGCCGCTGGGGTGGCGCTGCTGTCGTTACTGCGCATGCGCAAATGCTTCGCCTCGGACGAATCGTAAAGTCAAACGCGGGTTTGTTTATAAACAGTGTCTTGGTGAATATGGTGCCAACCGAATGGTGCTGATAAAGGAGGTGAGCCCCCCCTTTTTTTTTAAATCTGTTTGGGGAATTTATTTTTTTTTATCGGTGTACTGTACACTATTTTACAAAGACCGAGTTTTCGATGCAAGGACCATATTTCAAAGCAGGAACTTAACCCGTTATTTACATGATATACAAAAATGGCCTAAAACATTTATATTTAAGACAATCAATTTTAAAGAAATGAATTTAAAGAACACAGCTAAAATTATATATATATATATATATATATATATATATATATATATATATATATATATATATATTTGTGTATATATATATGTATATATATATATATATATATATATATATATATATATATATATATGTGTATATATATATATATCGTGATGTAAACTTGCAAGTAAGAGCTTTGTTTCCTGTGGGCAACACGACCAGTCAGAAGTCGGAAGACGTGGCTCCCTTCCGTGAAGTCTACGGATGGCTATGAAATGTCAGCAATATCTCCGCATACGATATGGCCTCAAGTAAAACAATCACCTATCGCCAAAGATGAGTGGCGACAGAAAAACACCTATCCATATTTTTCGCTAGAAAATCTGGGGAAACGCCGTTCTCGGTCGCCGCGAATTTAGAAGCGCCGTACTTTTTTTTTGTTGTTGTTGTCAACTATTTGTTTATTATTTCACTAGATGGCGCTGAAGTTTCGATCTTCGAAACTGTTGCCGGACTGCCAGATGAAAAAATAAATAAAAAAACGTGATAAAATTGGAACACCAAACGAGCCAAAGAACGTTTCACGTTAAAGTTAGAAGCATGAAAATTTGCAACGGGCGCCGAGTCACGCTACAGTGTGTTTGTTTCTTGAAACCTTTTTGAGTTGCGGCCACTGGTCGAAGCCGAGGCAACAAACAACAATTTTAAGCCACCAGCTCAAGGAATACAGGTCGCATAATATCTCACGGTTGAGTCAGGGACTCCGGTACGCGAGGTAGAAATCTGGCACTCTATGCGGCCTTGCTGCATACACACGCACTCGACTCTGTAACGTCACGCAACAGCGGTGGCGCTGTTGTCGGCACAGCGCATGCGCAGAAACCTCACTTCTTCCCGGATTTGGTTCCTGCACGCGCCCAGTGCCCACAGCCTCCCTGTGTGGGGACAAACGAGGACTCGTTTGTAACCACTGCGTTGGTATGTACATCGTGTCCGTTCGAAGCTTCGACACAATATACCGCGTCCTGGCGTTTCTTTCCGCCTTAGCCGAATGCCGGAAAGACGATAGCGCGTATCCGCGCGGGCTGTCGCCCTCTTCTCTTCCGCTTGTCGCTGGAACAACGGCGGCAAGAAAGATACCCCTCCGATGCTTAGGGAAACCATGGACATAGTGATCCTAACAATGAGGAGATAAAGTTCCTCCTCGTAATCTCTTTATTTCTTTTCATTTTGATTAGGGGACTTCGTTTACGCACGGCACGCATTGCACTCGAAAGCCGTGGTCACACACCAAATACATCGTACAAAAGACCGTCTGCGTCTGAGGCGTACATCTATGTACGAGCGCGGCGTGACCGCCAAGGACCGGTGCGCGATCCCTCGAGTGTGTCACGTGACATTCTTGAGGTTGCGCGGCGACGCGAGAGGCGCGCTTAGTTACGCGATGCGTTCAACAGCGCTGGATTGGTCGTGGGATGGCGGCCGGCCCCGTCGCAGCGTCCGCCGCCCCGAACGCTCCTGAAACATGGTTGCCACGCCACCAAAAACAAACAAACAAAAAAGGGACCAAAAGCGTCGCCGTGGTCACAGTTCGCGATTGGCCACACGCTCACTTCGACGTCTTTATTTATTTATTTTTTTTCTATCCGTAGAAATCAGCGCCCTTTCACAGTGTCGTCTGTGACGACGTTGGTTTCAGAATGGTATGACTCCGAGTTTTCACTGTTAAGTATCTGTTATACTCCGACGGTGAGTGTAGAGAATGCAGCGTAGCGCATGGAGAACGCGCGCCTTTCATTGGCCGGCGAGCAGGAAATTAACATCTGCGACCAATCAGCATTTGCGTGCACTGCGCTATGCCGCGTTTGCTACGCTCGGCGTCGGAGTGTAACATACGCACACCGTCGAAGTTGTAGCTCGCGAGTGACGATAAGTAGTGGAGATTATACAACTAATGACGTAACGCAAAGCCTTTTTTTATGTGCGTCACGGCGAGGCTAATTCTGGTCACGACGTCGCGAACAGAAACCACAATAGGGCGCCACGGCAACATCTCGGGAGCCTCAAGCAAGAGTGCGTTGAACTGCTCGCCTGGGGTTACGTGTTCATGGACGCCATGAAATTGCAAAACTTTGCTGTGGGTCTACGACGCTATACTAAAGTCCCTTGATACTTTTTTTTTACAAGTTACGACAACAAATTCAAATGACAAAGCATATTTCGCTGGAACAAAATGGCGGCATTCAATTCAAACCTCTACTGTGCGCCGCCATTCACTTCCTAAAACCTGCACCCCCACGCAGTCGGCGCTTCAAAGAATGTCGCGCTACTTGTAGGAAGCTCTTATCTAGTAACTTTACGCTATACGGGTGGTTTTTCAACGTAACTCCGGTAATAAACAGCCCTGGGGATGCTTGAATACTTCACGCGAAGAATAAAATAACACTTTTCTTTTGACACCATTTTTTTTTTTTTTTGAGGGGCTAGTTAAACGCAAGAAGGGATTTAATCCGCCCCATCTCTAACGCCCTCATTAAATTGCAAACGCTCTTTTCGTTGAGCACGCTCTTACTTGAGGCTCTCTCGGGAACACGCATCGCTCCGCGTCGTAGGAGGCCGCGCATGCGCAGTTTGATTCCTGTAGTCAGCTACAGCTTAGCGTGACTTTTCGTTCTTGGTGATCCGTTTATTAGCGTCTTGTCAGGTTGTACCTCAATCAGATTGTGTACGGGGCGATAATAAGAGGACAGGGACTCATCACGCCCCCCTTTACTAAAGCTGTTAGTGACGATAACTCCCTGAAAAGACGTCTTAGTACAGCATGCAAACTAACGTTTTTAAGTCACTTCAGACGAGCGTCAAAAATCGGTTTCTCAAAGTATTGCGCTGCAGTTTATTACGCAAGTGCGAACAGATAGTAAAGACTTACGATAAGAAAAAAGAAAAAAAAAAAAAAGCGAGTGTTTTGGGCAGTCTACGGCGCCACTTCGCAGACAATGCAGGCGTAGTGAGAACTGCTGCCGACAGATGGCGTACGCCGCAGGCGATCCTGCAAAACCTGCAAAAGAACCTCAATCGGTCGTCGCTCCCTCGACGCGGCGTACGCCATCTGTCGGCAGCAATTCTCACCACGCGTGCGTCGCCT